ATTAGGTTTTTGAACACACATCCGTCCCTATTTCTCAAGGATTTTGATCACACATCCGTCCCTATTTCTTATTAGGTTTTTTGTTGGATGGCTGATCCCAGCAATCGACAAACAGGTGGTCTTGGGGATAGGAGCATTTTGTTTTCACCAAGCAGGTGGTGAACGTGGATTTTTTCATCAAGTCCGTGTGCAAGACTGGAGAAGAAGACGACAACGAGGATGAAGATGCCATGCTGGTGCCGATCTATGTGGGTGCCATTTCTTCCAAATATGTTGGGGAGGACAACCGGCTCACGGGTGATCGCCGTGGTCATGCAGCTGAAGGTTTCTTCGGCTGTGATGAATTTGGGCATCTCTACATCAGTGGTCATCGCACCGACGACAAGTTTGGCGGCTTCAAGAAGGGCAGCACCGTCGGAGTGGAGATTGATTACACTGATGAGGCAAAGAGAGCCATGTTCATCAGTGTCGATGGCTTCAGAGTTGGCGCCATCCGTAGGGAAGTGGATGAGGGCATGGTGCCATGTGTGATTTTGAACGGAATGGGACAGGTGGTTCGAGTCAACGTGGGTCGCCCCCGGCGTGGAAAAGGCCTACTGGTCAAGCGGGAGGATACCCTTCAAGACGAGTGGCAGTCCATCTACAAGGATCATCCCGAGCCGGACACCACGGTGATTCACCTGAGCTATCAGGTTGGGAAGGACCAATGGTTCACACGGGTGAAGTCCGATGAGGGAAGCAAGTACAAGGAGGAATGTATATACGAAGGGTGGAATTCAGCGTTTGCAGTCCAGCTGAAGGATGAACAGTTGGCCAAATTGGAGAAGATCAAAGCCTTCTCAAGACAGTTTCAAGTGGATAGCCGCCGTGTGAGCATTTGGTGCATCAATGTGACCTTGACCGGTATGTTCATCGACTCAGCACAGATTTGGCGGAGTCACCACTTGGCACAGCAGAAGGCTTGGATGTCCTTCTATACTGACAAGAGCGGCTCCCACCACCGGAAGGTGGCGACAGACTGGAAGGACGCACCTCGTGATGAACATGATTTGGAAGATGAAGCTGTCCAGGTGATCACCGAACTGGATGCCAAATTCTGCCATGGAGCTTACAAGCTGTTTGTGTGCTTTAATGCAGAAGATCCGCAGAACTTTTCTCCCGAATATGACAAGCAGATCACGATCAGGCTCAAGCTCACACCTCACCTTCCTCTACTGGGACCCAAGAATCAGCTCATCAAGCTCTTTAGTCACTTCTCCGCGGTGGTGGAGCAAGGCGATGGGCATTTGATCCACTACAAGAAGGTGGAGCTTGTGGCGCTTCAAGTGCTTCAGTTGCTGAAAGGCTCGGAGAGGCTACGAAACAGCCTTCTTCATGATTCCAACGCAGAGGATGATTCCGCCGGCTACACGGTGTTCCATGCCGCTGTTGAGTTCTTGAAGTCATTTTGTGAGTGCGAACCTCACTACCGCGCCTTGTTTGTGAAGAAGGAGGTCTTTGAGTTCCTGGTCTCTTGCATTGCGCTGGCTGAACAGGTTCCAGTGTCTCAAATGCTTGTGTCGGTGTTTGCCAACAATGACATGAGGGTGAACATGCAGTTTGTTGAAGAGCTGATCAAGGCCATGGAAGAGAATTTTTCCAAGAACAAGCAATCCTCCTTAAATGCACTGCTGGTACTGACCAGTGTCGTGACGACTTTCAATGACAATGTCGAGACTCGTGACAATGGCAGTATCATTATGCGTCGATTCATGGAGAACAACACTGAGAAACGCATCGAAAATCCCTATCTCCCAATGGCTTTTGAGGCCTTCCGTGATCAAGTTGAGTTCATGATCGGTGACAATGAGAGGATAGGTGACCACATCAAGCAAATGAAACAAGACGAGGTCAGATCGGTTGCCACGAAGGACAAGCAGAGCCGAGCAAGTCATGAACAAAAAAGGAAGAGCACAGTCGAAGCTGCAGAAGCTTCTGAAAGTCAGTCTGGTTCAGAGAAGAACAGCGGATCTGATTCTGAGGATGAGCAAGGTGAGCCAGCCGCAAGCACATTGCCTGTGGATACACTGGGGACTTCTGCTACTGCAGATGACAGCGATGAAGATGTTGCATCCTCAGTCGATGACGGTGTGGAACACGAAGCAGCGGCCACCTTTGGCACCAAGAAACTGGTGCTGTCGAACTTCTTTTCCATTTGCTTCCAACTTGCCAGTATTGAATTGGTCATTCGCTGCTCTTCCTTTGGCTTTAACAAGACAGTTCTGAAGCATTTCAGCAAGAGTGTGACAGAGTCCCAGCGGGGCAAAGACGAAATGGAAGAGGCAGAAGAAGGTGCAGTAGAAGCGGAAGAGGGAGATGAAGATGATGATGGAACTGTGGCGAGACAAAAGTATTTTCGACACATCATTTTCTGGCTTTCCGCGCAGGACAACATGATTAATATTCCACTCATTGTTCAGGATGCCTTTTTACGAATGATGTGTGTGCTGCTGAAGCCTCATGAAGTGGAGGATGTGTTGCACAACCGTTTTACAGCCAAGCAGCGGCGAATGCGAAGCAATGCGATCAAGCCCACCGACACAGTCTTGCTCCTTCTCAAATGGTTTACAGAGTCTTGGTGCTCGTTTGGAATACGTGTTGTTTCTTCATCATGAATTGAGAGTGATTAATTAATATTAACTATTATGTATACATAAATTTTTCTATTCGCCTTTTCGGGTTTTAAACACCAACCAGGAGTACTTCCGACGGTTTCCTGAGCTCCACTTGTTCTCCAACCGGATCTCTCCTGTCGTGGAGGCCATTGATGAGCGAGTGGTCTATGATTTGTCGCCATTCTTCGTTCGAGACCATCTTTTGCTGCTTTTCACTCAGGTGTTGCAAGCTTACAATCTTCAGAGAACATGGGGAAAAGATTGGTTCTCAAACTATGCGAGAGGAGGCGCTGACGATCAACCACCCAATGTTTCTGAGCCTGTCTTCGCGGAATTGGTTCGGCGTCACGCGTTCGAACTGCCGGACAAGGAGCAAGAGGCCTCGGGAGTTCAGGCGAGAGGAAAAGGTGCCCAAGGGGAAGGTGAGGAGGATGCCAGGCTCAACATGACGGACATCTTGGAAGATTTGTTCAAGGTGTTATTCAAACAGCAAGACTGGGCTGCGGAAGACTGGGGTGTGGACCAAGAACTCATGCTCATCATCAAGTTGATTCTATCCTTTGGCCTGTTGGATGCTCAAGAAACAGCAGCAGCGAAACTTTGCCTTCAACGTTTGGGTGTCGGCTTAGATCAGGACTTTCAAGCCGTTGAGCACATCCAGTTCACAGACTTCGACCATCCTGAGCAGGGAGGAGGGGTCGGTTTGGAGGACGATGAGGAAGGTGATCGCCGCAATCGAAAGAAGATGGTTGGTTTGCATCGTGGCTTTGTTGGACAAGATGATGAGCACTACACAGCAGCATTTACAACAATGAAGCCCTCGGAAGACTTTGGAGGTCGACTTCCTGATGTTGCCCGCCTCAATCCCTCGGAGAAGCGGGTACGTCAACAAGAGCATCTTCAGGACTTTCTCTATGAGTTGGTGGAGATGCCGGACATTGCACTCGCGAAGTCACTACATGTTGACGTCAATTTATGGCGTCGACAGCAAATCCACCATGCCACATTTCTCCTCAAGGGCAGCCAAGAGCGTGTGTGGCATGTGGGCAAGGAGATTGTGCAGCAGCTGAAAGGCCTAAGCTTGAAACTCAACTCTGGAGAGAATCTCTTACAGGAGTTCAGTTGCGAAGTACATGTCCTACGTCCCGGCGGTGGACAACACATCGCACTGTCCATCGAAAAGGGTGAACGAGAGACACGGGCAGGTCATACACAATGGCGTGGCCATGGCACTGCTGGCGGAGGTGTCAGCAACCAGATCTACTTCGAGGTGGAAATCAATGGCAAAGATGTCGTTTTCTTGCGAGACATGTCTTTTGATCTTGGACGTGTCAAGGTAACTCTGCAACTTCTGGGTTGCCACACCTTGACGCTTCGAAGTCGATGCCTCTTCGACACACACGAGTATCAGCTTGTGGTGTCGAACCCTCGGATGACGGCATTGACAACTCCAAAGGCATTTGATCCTGAAGTTGTTCTTCGTGCAGTGAAGGTTGGTGCAAAGAGGCATGCAAACACCGTACGACCGCGGCCAAGTCAAGAAGATCACAATGATTCGCTTGAGATCAAGGAACATGCAGCACAAAAGGATGTGGAAGGCATTGGTGGAAAGAAGATGAGCATGGCCAAAAAGGTCATCCACGAGCTGATGCCGCGGTTCACTGAGAAGGTGATTGATCTGATCGAGGATCGATGCTTTAAGTTCGAGCGTCAATCCAAAGGACTTGATGAGCAACTCCTCCAGGCCACACGAGAACATGAGCATGAATTTATCATCTCCGTGCTCCGACAAGCGGTCTCCTTCGTGATGCTGGATGTCTTCTTGGAGAAATTGGAAGTGGACAATGCAGACTTGCTGTACATCCAACACCCGAACATGGTGGAAGTCTACGAGATCATCCAGGAGGATTCGGTGGACCAAGATGAGCTGGATGATGTGCCTGGGATCCTGAAACGTCGCATCGACGATGGATCCGACTCCGAGGAGGGAGTGCGAGAGTTGATGGCTTTGGAAGAACGTCAGCTCTTGGTGCAGACCTGGATCATGCGTTTGTGCCATGCCATCCGCACCGTTGCATTCTTGGGTATTCAAAAGATGGACATTCTCAGTGCGACAGACGGTGTGGATGATGAGCAGGATGAGAAGCAAAGTGATGATTTGGGACTCAACGAGGGCGGCTCTGCAGAACTGACCCGGTGGTCCTCCTGTCGAGCTGTCCTGAACATCCTTCAGGAATTGCTGAGCCGAAATGAAGAGATTGAAGAGGTATGGGCCAGATTTGTGGCTTCAAGTTCAGAATGCATTGTCAACAACCCCAACGGGAAGCTAAATTTGACCTTCCTCACCGAGAAGGCGACGTTCTTTTGCCCCTTTAGTTACCAACAGAGTCAATCTGCTGGAAGTTTCAGCTTCACCGCCGCCAAGCTCAAGAACTTCTTCGATGAAGCTCAAGTGCCAGAGGTGGATCCTTTAATGTTGGTCTCGATTCTGCTCTACCATCCCCAAGCGTTGATGCGGCTGGAGGCCTTCAAGCTGGGCTGTCGCATCCTCCGTGATCCCAATGTCGTTCTGCAGGAAGCCTACAAGACGCACACGAGCGCTGACATGCATTTGCAGAAGGCCATTGGTTTTCAATTTTGCGTCTTCGAGGACTTGTACAAGCGCGATACCTACACTGAAAACCACATTGATATGATGGCTGGGATGCTGAAGCTCATCCAGCAGTTGTGTGAAGGTCACTTGCAGCCTCTTCAGGAGTTCTTGGGAGCCGACTACACGGTCGAAGAACTGGATATCTTTTCGGCGAAGACGTTGCCTGGAGCTGATGAAGAGGATGAACACAAGGTCGCACAAGGGCGACGACAAGATCAGGAGGAGCAGAAGAATGAACAGCCTACGAATATTGTTCAGTGGACTTCTCAAATGATTCATATGATCTTGGAGAGCATGCAAGAGGTGACACTGAATGGCCGTGAAAAGCAATATGTTTTGGTCCAGCAACTCTTTGATACTGCTGCCGAACTGATTCAAGGTCCCAGTATGGAAAATCAAGCCACCCTTCTGGAGAACGGGATTTGTGCAGATATCAACTTGTTGTGGCAGAATTTGCGGAGAGACGAAGGCACCTTTCGAGGCTTGATCCAAGACAATGAGGAGCTCTTTGATACCTGGATGGATCTGCTAAGAGTCATGCGTTCAGCGGAGATTGCGGCCTTGAAATGTGCCATGTCCTTACTGGAAGAACTCCAGTTATCCGAAGATGACAATGACTTTGCGAAGCAACAGGAACAGGTGGGCCACCTTGGGGAAGGGTCAACAAAATCAAACACAAACAGGCGAACAACAATGGCCAAACGGTCCTTAGGTTCTTAGGTCCTTTAAACTCTTCAGTTTTGGGCCTTTCGGGGAGTCTTTGGTGTCGGGTGTTGCGACCTTCGTGTGCCCTTGTCTTTTTCAACACCCAGGTGGTGCTGCACAAAACGACCACCTTGGCGCGAATGATCCAGGAATTGGCACCCAAAGTTTTGTGTTGGAAGATCATCACACATTGGAATCTGAGCTCTGAGGCTGCAGACCCACAATTTGAGATCACTCCAAATGATGAGGATGAAGTCGGTGAGAGCGATAAGGATGAGAATGAAGAGACCGACGAACAGATTGTGAGGCCTAAGAGAGAGAAGGCTTGCTTGACATACACCTTGGATGAGCAGTATGAGGACTGCTTGAAAGTCTGTGGCTTGTGCTACTCTCTTTTTCATGCGGTCTTCAATGCACCTGAGACCAAGACGCCCTTGTTTCGAGATGTGAAGATTGAACAGCCGGTGGACCGGGTGGCATACACCAAACAAGACTGGAGTGTTGCAAAGACCAAGATGTTTGATCAGTTCTTGGACAAGGTGCAGAAGATGCTCGGGGAAAAGTACCTGCACTTCCTCTTTGGCCAGGTGGAGATCGTGCGCGGCTCCCGGCTGCAGCGGATCTACTTCCTGGTGCCGAAGTCGATCCGGGTGCTGAAGAATCACTCATTGATCCACAAATGGCAAGAAGAATGCCTTGTGGCGGTGGAGCGTTCATCACCCGAGGCACAAATCGATGATTTTGCCGACATGGTCAACGGACAGTACATCTCATTCGTGCAAAAGCAATATGACCTCTTGGGAAAGCCATGGCCCTTTAACCGAGCAGGTGAAGTGATTGCATTGTGCATTAACTCCACCATGTTAACAACAGCCATCATCAACAGCATCCTGGTTTTGGTTTACGTTGGATCGTATTCTGAGCACTCCATCACTGCTCAAGACATCCACTATCCGAACCACTTGTCTGTGTACGCGTTGACAGGATTTGCCGCGGTCCACTTCAGCCTCTCAGTGTTGTGGCTCGGCTTCTATATCCTGTCCTATAGTGGCTGGATCATCGAAACGAAGGTGGACGAGTGGCGTGAAGAGCATCCACAGTTGCAAAGTCAGCTGAACTCTACACTTTTTCGCTTGAGCTTGCAGGCCAAGATTTTCTTCAGTGACGGTCAGTTGATGTACACGCTGTTTTTGCTGGTGTTTTCATTTTTGGGCCTGTTCGTGAGTTTCTTATTCAATGCTGTAAACACAATTGATTTGTGTATGCGCATCCCCATCTTGGCCAAAGTCATTGAATCCATCACCGTCTCGCGGGACCAAGTGGCCGGCACAATGGTCTTGGGATTCTGCATCCAATATATGGCCGTGGGCGCCGGCTTTCTACTCTTCAGTCAGGGGTATGGATTTGCGGACAAGGACACCTCAGCGTGCTCGACCTTGATGGAATGCTTAAGGGCCCATTTCGACTATGGCTTCAGAAGCGCGCCAGTTTGGAGTGGACCAAAGCTCACATACACCCGCTTCACTTTTGACTATGTCTACAATCTGGTGATCATTCTGATCATGGCAGCGATTATTTCTGGAATCATTATCGACACATTCGCTGATTTGCGAGAAGAGCAGAAAACCATCCAAGATAAGATGAAATCGAGCTGCTTCATTTGTTCTTTGAGCAAGAGTGAGCTCGAACGCAAGAGAGTGAAGTTCGAAAACCACATCCTGAAGGATCACTACATGTGGGCCTATGCAAGATTCCTTCTTTACCTCGATGAAACAGACCCAGCAGAGCTGAATGGCCCTGAGAGCTATGTCAAGCAGCAGATCAAGGAGAACAACACAAGCTTTTTCCCGATCGCACGCTGCATCTCAATGGAGTCTAGCGATGCTGGTGAGGAACATTTGGAACGTGAAGTCAGAGTGAAGGACTTGGATGAATTCAAAGAGATCCTAAGAATCCAGATTAGTACTTTTTGGTTCAAAGGCATTCAACCAGCTTGTTTTGATCGGCCAAAGAATCACAACCAGCTTCGCCATTTTCCCCCACATTTCGGGTTGAACTCTATCCAACAGAGCCTCGCCAGTGTTTGGATTCTCACTTTAAAACATATAGTACAGTATAATAATATAGTATGCAATAATATGTATACAGTATACATGATATATACATAGTCTCAACTTTTGGTCGTTTGGCCACAGTCAGGGTTTGTCCACCAATAGTATTATACATAACTTATGTGTTACATAACCAGTTCTCACCATGTTCTGTCAAGTCCAGTAACGATTCTCAGTCTGCAGAACCGGTTTTCAGGAAGATGAATGGTATGGCAGCAGATACAGAGATCATGGTCCAGTCGGAAAGAGGAATGAAGGCTGACATGAAGGAGCTACGAGATGCCGTAGCACAGCAATCCCAGAAAGTACAAGCGTTGAACCAACTCCTGACGTCTAATGATGATGATGACAAGAAAAAGAAAAAGCGAAAAGGAGGCTGAGGCAGCTGAGGCATAGGTAGGCATAGATAGGCAGGCATAGCATGCATAGCATGCATAGCTCATTCCAGACCAGTGGAAGACCAACAACGTCACGTCGTGTTGCTCGCTGAACACCCATGCGATCAAGGACTCAAGGAGGAGACAAAGCGCTCTCCCCGGACAAAAAGCAGAGCCAATGTGCTCACGCCAGGTCAGACTGAATTCCATTTCAGGAGGGGTCGTCTTTCGGCTTAAAATAGCCACGCCAAATGCACACTTAACACAATTTGAAGTCGCAAAAATGTGCTGCCTCCTCCATCTCAATCTCACGCTTTTCTACGTAGCACCGGGTGGTTAACATCGGCTATTGCATGGTATATTGCACGGTCTACACTGGTGATGCCACCCATGATAGCCAAAAGTGATGCCACCAGATGATCAGATTTGGCTCATACAGTTTCCGATGCACGAGCATTGCACGCTGACATTTGGAATGGTCAGCAGCCAAGCATCTTTTGCTCGAGAGCTTATGCAATCAGCTCAATACAAAAGGGCAACATGTCCTGATACGAAAACTCGAGGAAAGCAAGCTCACTATCCACATAACGAGTGATGTACTGAAACGATCTCCATGATGAGCCACCTGCCATGGCGGAATCCACAGAGGACTATAGCGAATCCACTGGATGTTGCTCGGTGGATCGAATCGACTCGAAGGAGCCACGTCCGGGCACTTCAAAGGCTGAAGAATCGGTGTTCGGCACTCAGCTCATCATGCCAGGAAATGGTGAGGATGCATCCAAAAATATTCAATATAGATGTTTCAATCATCTTCAATGACATGTATTAAAACATAAATGTTCTTAGTGACTTGTCCGCCACCCCCGACCGCTATGGACCTCCCGCGGACCCAGTGTCTGAAATCACAGCCACTCTGGAGACGAAATTGCGAGAATCTTGTGCCTGCGACCGGACTGAGATTGTGCACCGCAGAAGTCCCGGTTTCCTTTGCGGCACCTGATGTCTCTACTCCCCAATGTCTCTACGGCTCCGCTCAGTTTCGACACCCCATGTTGAATGACCAACGGGCGGAAAACAGCGGCTGGAGGCTCACGGATTGTTTTGATTCAGGACTGCTGCAAAAGGGAAAGGCAAAGGCAAGGGCAAGGAAGAACCGAAGGAGCTGCTTGACACCTGTCACTTGTGCTTGTGCATCTCCAGCTTGATTTCCTTGGTTGCTGGGGGATACTGGTACAGCAATACATAGTCTATCTTGTGGGTACCCCATTCAGGTCAGCCGCTTTGAGACCACGTGAATCACGTATGCACTTTATACCACGTTTCAACAGGGGATGACTCCGATGTTGACAGCTCTTCTCGGCTCGTCTTAAGCTGTTCTCGGCTCCGCAGAAGACCAAGTTCTGGATCTCCTGGGACTCCTTGGAGAGGTGTGCCGTTTGTGTCTTTTTGGATGATCGCACCACAGGAATTCCCTGCGAAGCAATCATGAGTCGCAGACACTGTAATTCAAGACAACGACCGAGACGGAAGTTTCTTGCAGTTTGTTGTTAGAGTTCACCAAAGTGTCAAGTGTTCTTTCTTTCATGTGGCAGGCGATTACAATTGTCAAAGTGGGTGGCTCTAAGTTGTTCAAAGGCATGGTGAATGACATGCGGCTTTGACAGCTGTGAGAGCGTTGTTACTTGGTTAAGCAGGACCACACAGCCAAGATTTGGGAGCTGAACAGCAGGGAGTGTCGAGGTACATTGTCAGGTTGGGCTTGTTTTGCTGTCACGAGTTCAAGAGTGAGTGCTCACTCACTTGGAGGAGACAAGGCTAGCACTTGCACACTCATTTCTTGGTATTTCTCACCTCGGTGTTTGCAGGTCTGCATGAGGGCACCGTGAGATGTGCTTCTATCGACTGGAAGGACTTATATTGACCAGTGTGAAACTACATAGTTCGGCTCCATATAATTACACTTTAAAATCGTAATCATGAGGTCTACATAATTGGTCAATACTGATCAATAATTAGCAACAGTCCATAATTTCCATTATTAATAGTTCTGTAAACCAATAACCTCCTATTCGACTACCTTTTAAGAACCAAATACTAAAACCTACTATACTTGAAGCAATTTAGCTCTCTGCATTTTTTTTAAATCGGTCTTGACCCCAACCTGACTGGTCAGAGTCATGGATGACTGTCACTCTGTGGTTGTTTGCGTGCTCTCTGGCAACAATCCAGAACCTTGGGTGGTTGGTGGTCGGGTGGTTGTGTGGCGTTCCGGTCCCAGCATGTGCCCTTGGGTAGGAGCTTTGACAATGGGATTTGGGCACATTTGCTGAGGGGTGGGTGAGTGGGTGATCGAGCAGCTTTTCATATGTGAGCACAACAGGAACTTATGGCTATCACGGCCTCTGATGATGGCCTGGGTCCCAGTGTTGTTGGACATATGTTGGCTTGAAGGAGAAGATGTATACACTTACACCTTTCCACAATTTTCATTTCGGCTTCTAACACAAAATACTCTCTCCCTTCAAGATCCTGCCAGTATCACGAGTTATTGCTGTTCAGGTTCTATGTGCCTTTGGTCGCTGGATAGATGTGAATGCAAGGAACAGTGGCTTTCGAACAAGCACGGCCGGCTGTCCCCAGATCGGCTTGCTTTTTTCAGAAAGCCCATGGCCTCGACCCGCTGCGCATCAAGGCCAGCAAACCTGCCTTGCGGCAGATTGGGAAAACGATCGTGGGGAACTTGGACTGATTGTTGCAGACATCCGCAACACAAATGCGTTGGAGATGTGCTGCAGGTGCTGTCAGCGGCACGGCGCAAGGGAAATTGTGCTTGTGGGACTCTCGCTTTCATTTGAGCCACGTTTTGTTTTGCAAATTATTAGGTTTTATACAAAAAGAGAACTGTTGAGAAGTTGCGGAGGCTGTTCTGCTTGGCGCGTAGGCGTCGTGTAAGCATTTTGCATAGGTGGGTGTGGAAAGACTTGCATAGGCAGTCTTGCGTAGGCACAGTTTGAATGAACGCATGAGTTTTCTTGTTCAGACTTCTTAAAAAGTTGTTCAAGGGTCTTGGGGAAAGATATTGTTGGTTTGCAGTTGTTTAACTTGGCACTTGCTTGCAAATTCCAATGGGGAACACAAGGACAATGAACTGTAATGGCATGGCTACAGTGGATGTTTGAAGTTTGTTTGTCGAAGCTATGGGGGCACATTGGTCTTTGAGGTCAAAAGCTTGATCATGCTTGGTCTGGCACACCGGCTCTTGAGCCACAAGTGTGGTACCATTATCGATGGAGCAAACTGAACTCTGCACTGCCCGACAGCTTACACCATGTGAGCAGCCGGTCAAACCCTTTGGTTCCCAACAACAGACCTATTTTCGCGTAGGCCCCGCGTAGGCGCTCGCGGCAGCAGCGCGTAGGCAAGAAGCTATTGGCTGCTGCTACTGCTTGGCTGCTGCTTCTGCTGTTTGTGTGCTGCTGCTGCACTGTTTGTCTGCTGTTTTTGTGCTGCTTCTGTGTTGCTTCTCTGCTGCTTCTGTGCAGTTTGCCCGCTCCTGCTGCTGCTGCTGCTGCTAATTGGATTGGTTTGATACAAAATCTATCTGGCAATCGGTAGAAAAGCTGTAAACGCCTTGCGAACAGGAACCTGGTGTGACCAGTGCCCTGCGTAGGCATCCCGCGTAGGCACCTATATAATAAAGAGAACCTCTCGCGTAGGCAATTGCTTGAGAGAGGAGCCCAGGCGTAGGCACCCGCGTAGGTACAGACCCAGTGTATAAGCCCCACACCACAAAAAACACAACTCAATTGGTGCAAGGTGTACAAGATCTAATCTACCTGCCTATGCCGTCCTATACCCCATTCATGGTCATTTATGATTTATATGATGTACATGCCCACTTGTTTGTGGTTGTTTGAGTTGGTCTCTTCCTGTCCCTCTGAGTCTCTCATAGTCTCTCTCCATTTTCGCATTTCAATCTATATCCGTATCAATATAATAATATAGTATATATATATATCTACATATGAGAATGTGGAACAAATTGACCTTTTTCCTGTTGTGCATTGACGTTGAACGTGCCACGACCGGCAAGTTGTTTGTTTATGGAGGGCTCCATGTAGAACGTCAGCCTGCCCAAGCCTGCATATTTCTTGCGAACCTTGAGTTTGAAGTGTTTTTTGTTTTTTTCTTTGGCAGACATTTTGCTCTGCAACAAGCTCACCTCCAAGGGCTTACAGAAAAAACATCGGGGGGCTCAGTGAGGTCGGCGGGATTCTCATACTTTTGCCATCTCACTTAATCTTTGGTGCCATCCAAACGATTCACCACTGTGAACGCAATCAAAGTCAATGCTTTCCAATCATTTTGATAGGACTACAGAACACCAGGGGCCTCTCCGGACACCGCTTCTGCATCGTCCGTTTTCATTGAACCCGTTAAACAATAACTCGGTCAGCGGCTCCGCCGTGTCGTCTCGTGTGCGTCGACGTCGACATCTCATCTCTCAGGACACCAAGAGACTTGCCCTGTTGCACACGGTTCACGCACATCCCGGAGGTGAACCGATGCGAGTTTTCCGATGCGAAACGACCGATGTCTGGCGCTGAAGAATGGTTAAGCGATGCTTTTTGGTGCCAAAGAACGAGTGCTCGGAGGGGAAAGGTTCTGAAGGCGAAGGTTCGACACAGCACTCTTGTGGCCCAAAAAAGTGCTAAAATGATCAAAATATGTAGGTGCAATAATCGGGTATATATAATCAATCATGATCATGCATAAGTTAAGCTGGAATCCCACCTGTCCAGCTCCCCCAAATGTGCGTAACGCATGCTAGCCGGACGAATCGACGTGGCCCAGCTCGAATCAACAAAGTGCTCATCGACGTGGTGATTGGCTTGGCCATCACAGCAGCGGAAGATGGGAAACTTCGTGTTGGGAACCCCAGACGGACCTGTGCGGATCGATCGGAACCTGCCGGACCTGGTCGTCTCTCCCACTTGGAACCTGTGTTTCGACCGGAGAGTCAGGTTCAGGACCTGCTTGGCCCAAAAATTCTAAGCAAGCAAGGGGCTCCAACAGTAGCACCAACGATAGTGCAATTGACTCTAAGACATTTCTCCAGTAGCAACGGGGTTTTCACAGGTTTTGAAAGCTCTTGAGCCGTCCTGTTGCCCTGGGGGGGGGTTCGTAAGGAACGAAAGCCCCGTTTTCAGAGCACCCGCCCAGTGCTCCGAGCGTTCGTCGGTCCCCCCATCGCGTCGACCGAGACGTGGGATGTGACGCTTCCGGAGCTCACGTGCGTCGGCCGGAGCGCCCAGTGGTCGATCGTTCGGTGGCCACGCTGAAGTGAAGCAGCCACCCCCAACACCGAGGCACCTTCGACAAGCACAACGAAGCGGTCACGGCGGTGGCCGTCCTGGCAAGCTTAATGGATCTTGATCTTGGAATAACTTAGATATTCTTGATTCTCCCCATTGATTTTGTGCATATATTTTTAATTTTGTTTTGTCATGATGACTGTTCCCGCCAGGTTGTGAACTTTGATAAGAACCGTGTGCTCAGTGGGGCCGACGATGGTTCTCTTCATTTGTGGCATTTGGGCCGCAGCTCCAATGCTTCGGTCGCTCAGCTGCCCAGTTTCGGTCGCTCGGCTTCGAGCTCGATCGATATTCCTCAGCTCGTTTCAGCATCTGGACCGCTCGCGCCCAGAAAAACCGCACGTCCATCGGAATGCTCAGCGGCCACACAGACAAGGCGTGCTTTCGTCGAGACGAGTCGTGGATGTTGGATGTTGGATGACGTAGGTTTTGGCTGCGGATTCGACGGATTCAACCTACGTCTTGCCAGATCAACAACATCGCAATGGACTTGCAGAAGGCTTTTACCTCGCAATGGACTTGCAGCTGTGTTCTTAATATAATACTATTATAGTGAACTTCGAATTCGGACAGTTGGCAGGCTGTGGCGGTGACCGTCTCTGATGATGAAACGGCTCGTGTGGCTTGCAAAGATCATGACGGATGTGGCTCTTGCATGCTCTTGCGAGATGTCGCGAGTGCTGGAGCTCCAAAAAATGGAGCTCCTCAAACCCCGAAGGTTCTGCGGAAATCACTTGCAATTATCGAACTATGACCCTAATCGCCGGAATTCAACATAAAGCATCAACAAGGATCTTTTTTCTTGCTCGTGACGTGAGTGTTTCTTTTTGCTTGTTTGAATGAAGAAACCCTCCGTATACCTCCAATCCTAGAGCTCCACCGCGATGGGTGTCCAACGGGCCTCCGTTCGTCCGCGAAGCACCCGGTGGCGCTGAGGTCTGGGACATCCAGAACTTCACCTCTTTGGGTGTTCTGGAAGGTCACCAGCTGGCGGTGCGTGACCTCACGGTGGACTGTAGCGACCACGAAAAACCACGAAAAACCACGCTTCGATGTTGATTGTGTCTTCTTGAGCTGTGTGAACTACTGGTATGCAAGTTATCAGAGATATTCACTGAGAAGAATGCGATTCTGATTGTGTTTCCCTTTGCAAGGTAGTACGATTAAATATGATTAAGACATATTAAGACATGTTGTCGGATTCAAAACAGTAAAGTCGCATCACCTGCCCCGGCAGGACTTTGAAGAGATGATGTGCGTCACCTGCTCCGATGACCACACGTTGCGTTTGTGGGACCGATCTGTGTATTGATCCGTGTCGAATTCCGGGTTTTGTTTCCTTATTTTGATATGGGATATCTTATAAACAACTGATCAACACCCGTATTATAACCCGTATTTATTTTGTATACTATAGTACACACCCAAATGGACGAACTGTGTGTTGCCTCGCCAGTTGAAGTGACCATCGGACGGACGACTAGACGTCCACGTCCACGCGTCCATGGAACGGATTCTGATCAAAACCCAAGTCCCACGTCGTGGAATTGGGACGGACGAACCACTTATTTATATTTATTAATATATACAATAATATACAATTATATATATGTAGTATCATAGAGTATACAGTATATAGATTATGTAGTATTTATAAATATACATGAATTATATATTATATAGTATAGTTATACAGTACTTGAAAGCTGCGGATGGTCTGTGCAGGACTTGATGGGCCGGACGTGTGTGGCGGTCATGGAAGGACATGCGTCACGAGTGACTTGCCTGCGCCGTGACCCAAGACGGAACTGGAAGACATGGTGGTCTAGTTCGATGCAAGTCACTGTCCTCCAGCCTAGGTGGCAACTGGAAGAAGAAGCTGGTCCTCAGTGCTTCTGATGTGCGCCCTCGTGTTGCCAATGTAGACAACTTCTCGTGCTGTGGTCGGAAGCCAGGACTACACGCTGAAGTTGTGGGATCTTGAGAAGCAGTGGTGTGAGGTGCAACACTTTGGTGTCGACAGTGAAGCATCAGAGTCATAGTCATCTCTTTGTTCCAGGAGACTTTCTATGGACATGGTGGTGCCGTCACTATGTTGTGTTGATCTACCTAGGTGTGGCTGACAAACATTGATATGACAGATCAATCCAAGTCTCAAACAGTTTGATCTTTTGAGCCACCCTTGAAGCCAAAGAGCTGCCCTCCGGGGCCCTCCCACTAGCGTGAAGAAGCGCAGGTGGCTGGTACTCCAGAGGATCAAAAAAGGATCATGGGAGAAGACAGTGTCATTTCGTAGGGCTTATCAAGAGGAGTTTTTACTTGACAAGGATGGAACACCTTTATAATCCTTTACACACTACACACTCCCCTCAAACTCAAACTTGTCAATTTAATCATTTTTGGTGAATTGAGTGGTGGTTCCTTGGTCGCTGCGCAAGTTTCAACTCACGCGACCAGAAAATGATCTAATATGTCTTGGTATTGACAAAAAGACTAGATGTTATGTAATATAATGTACACGGTTTTGGCACTGATGTGTTTGGACCTTCCAAACTAGATCTTCATCTTAAGGGGGGTTCTTCCATTTTGCTGTGCTTTAAAAGCTGAAAGCTGAAGCGAGAGCATACTCCACAAGCGACTCCGACCACATGATCATGTTGCTGGTCTCTCATTTGGAGCCTTTCTGGTTCAAGGTGCACAAGGTAAGCAGTTTTGCTAGTTCTTTCAAGCGACGGAAACCGTGGAAGAACAATAGCTTGGGACCTAAGTTGCAGTATACAATGTGTGTTTATACATCAATGAATCAAAGGGCAAGACGTAGCTTATGAGGAGTTGAAGGATTTGCATTTGTTTGGCATATGAGCGCATGCCATGTGCTGAATCCTTTTTGCCCACGACAAGAACTATTACATTGGATCGTCCAAAAGAGCAACACTTCATTGTCCTTGCTATCTGAAGATGTTGTTCGGGCGCATCTATCTCCGTATTTCGGAAGCCCTTTACACTGTGGAGAATGGGAACAACTTGAAGAGGCTGAACTGTCTGAGGATCAGAAGACAGTGGTATGGCCTGTGCGTTCAGGGTGTGGAACGGCCAAGATTCCCTGGAGTAGCCCTATTTGGCTTGATGACAGTTGTTGGCGATTCGCAGTGAAAATGAAACCGCTGGGGGTGCTTTGTGTGGATCATTTGTTGGAATACGATGCTGCGGCGGCCGTCTTGCGCCGCCGATCGGCCAACGGTGGATGGGGTACACCGAGTGACCTTCAACCGCCGGTGAGTCGCAAGGGACGGCGTGCGAGCAGCGTGGTGATGTTGGACGTGGACACAGCCACTTGGTCTTTTCGCATCGGCCTGGAACAGTGGCTTTCACACTGGGTGCCTTTGCACTTTCCCAAAGAGAGGCTAGGCTCTTGCTTGAGGCTTTCTGTGGTATTGCTGCGCAATGGAGCTCAATGTACATTCTTGGATGTGTTGTCAAAAGGGCGCAAGATCAAAGTCCTGGGGGGTGTCAAGACCCATCATGACACATTCACATTCCCTCATTTTACCATGTCTGACCATGTCCATGCTTCGTTCAATGGCACATCCATGTTCTTATGTTCTTCCTTCATGCACGCACACGTTCTTGTAGTTCCTTGGAGTTGGTTCCCTTTCTGCTGTGATACTTGTGAACTGCATTGCTTTTGCGGGGGACCGGACCAACTCATTGGCGGACAAACGTAGACAAACCAGGTATATTTGGAGCTAGGGCCAATTTCTTCATATGTGAGTTTGATCCTCTTGTTCTGTGCATCGCTTTGACCGCTTGACGGCAGGCCTGAGTCAAGCTGCACTAAGGTCAAGAAATTAGAGGGCTGTAGCCACACAATAATTCAGCTGGTGGAGCAATCTACTGAGCATAGCGTTTGAACAGGGGAACTCCTAGCAGATCCCAGCAGCGCAGGCTTGCAGAAACACACACAGAAAGCATGGTGTAGCCCAGCTTAATACGCATCGAATATGGTGCTTGCAAACTGGGGGCTTCAACTACTTTAGGATACTTTAGGAGTAGGAGTACATGGTTCACATGCCCGTACAGGCAGCAAACTCAGCACAGCCCGACATAGGCATTCTTTGCAGCATTTAGCCGTTCAATTGAGTTCATCCCCAATTTGGGCTTTTTCTAGTCGGAGCCTTCTCCGCCCCAAGCCCCCTTTGAACCAACAAACACTGCTTGGCCGCGTGGCCTCCATTTGCCTTAGCATTTCGTGGATCAAAGACCCGCAGCTGGGGGCCGCTGGCCGCTGTGCATCGTCCGCAGGCACCGCGGCGCGGACACCGCGCCACGTCGGTCGCCGCGGACACCGCGCCACCGCTCGAGTGACGCGTCGCGTGACCGCCAGGGGGAGCGAGCTGAACGCCGCTGAACGCCGCTGAACCAGGAAAATGTTCCAGGAGGATGGTAAGCTTCGCTTCATCGAAGGGGTGGAGACCGAGGGCACAAGCGTTCACGATGGCAGCTATGAGGCGGGCTTTTGTTCAACAAGCGGACATGGATTTGGTCATAGGCATGTCGGGGCAGAGGATGGCATCATCAATGACTTTTGAGCTGAATTCTTTGGAGCAGGTGAAGCAGGATGTCCTTGTCAACAAATTCAAGAAGTTTGTCAGGGAGTTTGCGTGCTCCCCCAAGCATGGCCTTCGGCTCCTTGGTTCTTGTGCTGCGAATTCTAGGCTCACCATCTTGGTGGCAGGTACCACACTCATGCGAACCAGACAGATGTCATGACGTTCTGCCGGCCTGAGTTGGTCACAGTTTTCTCGCACCCATCAACGTGTAGTTGAAAAATTGCGTTGCATCACTTTGGTTTCTTCCATCTTTCACGATTATAGAGAATCTTTGATGTCTCCTCCCTTTTTTTGTTTTTGTTGTGTTTGTGCCAGGTTGAAATACCGAGAGCAGTTCAAGGCCAACTGTGATGATCGCAACTATCGTTTAGAGGTGCCACGCCTCCTCTCCCCAGCCGCAGCCCTTGGCTCTCTTGGCTCTGGAGCGTCGTCTGGAACTGCGCGCGCAGCCGTGGTCGTTCTCGCAGCTGTTTCGGCCTTTCAGACAGGAATTGGTGAGGAATTGTCTTGATTTCTTTGTTCCACCTCCAGAGAAGTCGTCAGCACTTCGGACATGACATCTGAGATTTACAGCCATTCGATGAAGGCAATCCAGTCTTTGCTCCCTAGTATGGCATGGTGAAAGCCAGTGCCCTTGAATTGAAGCATGAGCCTATTATATTTTGTAGCCTTGTAGTAGTGCTTCGGGAGCGTATATCCACCATCAACACATGCAATGATTGATGTTGAACCAGAATGTTGAGGAAAAACATTGGTTTCTGCTTGAAGTGGAAGCTACAAGCCCATTAGACGCTCACAAAGCGATGTGAAACCTACCCCATGCCATGGCACGCTGGAGGATGGAACACGAGTGACCTTGCTTCCTCTCAGCTTGGAAATGCTTGAGCGCTTGAAAGGCCAGTGGCCCTCACTTTGTTTGTGCAAGCCTCAGGACCTGAAGTCATTTGAGTGTCCTTTTGAATTGAGTGATAACATTTATAACTTAACTATAGATTGAACCTGATCAAATTGTAAGTCACCAAATGTTTGCGCAGGCATTTGTGTGATACGTTATGTGACTCATGTGTGGCGAAGGCTCCCGAAGCCTCCGCCGTAGGCTCTTAGATTTCACGCGGGCAAAGCCAGTTTGCGAAGGCTAGCTTAGAGTGTATGAAAGGTTGAAACTGGATCTTGAGGTCCTCGGGTTTCAACTGAATGGCTGAAGGAAAGGATCCACAAAAGCAATTATTAATTCGTGAAGCCTCTAGTGTTGCACGAAGCAAATTCTGACCCTGGAAAATCCCCAGCGTAGGCAACTCAGCGGTGTATAGGCACTTTGCGTTTAAAACAGCTCAAATCGGAAATTCCGAATGACGTCCTGGGCATCATGCTATGCAAGCGCCAAGGTCATTTATCATAGTCTAGGCCTCGACTGTTCTATGCTGTTTAATCTCCTTGAGAAGAAAAGTGCTACCAGTATTAGGTTGATCGCTAGTAGGAAGGAGGCCATCGCTAGTAGGCTGGAGCGCTTGAGAAGAAAGGTGCTTGGTGTTTGGGTCGCCCAGGCATCCGTGAGATCGAGGCTCAAAAGCCTGTGAGGGACAAGGTGGTCGTTGACGAGTTTCGATTTGGAGTATCATGCAGAATGGCTAGACATATACATATTATACACCATTTATACACCTTCGAAGCAATATGATATGTTGTTTTGGGGGTACAGTGCCGCCGGAAAATCAGGTGCAAGATTTTGCCCTGCGGATTCCCCGCATGGGACTCAGATGGATGATACACTCCCCCAAAGAGTGGAGACGATTTTCCTGTACCTTGGCAAAGCCACAGCCACAGCTTGGGAGGATTTGAGGGGGATAACAAGTTTCAGCCACGGACAGTCGGTCCTAAATCAATCCTCCCACTAGGGGTTCTTTTTACCCTCGTAGCATCCTAAAGTAAGATGGTGGAACAGGATCACACACCACCCTATTCCCATTTGCCTCCCCATGCACACAGAAGCACACACGAACTTGCGCACCACTACCTTGTTGCAAAAGGAACGTTTGTTCTTGGGGTTGGGGGCCGCGACCAGTTTTTTTCTTAGGTGTCACAATCGATGAGCTGGTGCAATCCTGAGACAATGCAGATCAATGCAGCAGATGGTAGAGATGACAGTTGATTAATTGAGGCAAAGAACAGGACTCTGAGAACAGGTCTCCATGCTTATGCTCCTTGGCACATGCCTGGGATGTGGTCGGGTGTGCCGAGCCGTCGGGCCCGTCGGGCCGTCGGGCCGTCGGGCCGTCGGGCCGTCGGGCTCCTCGTCTCCGAGCGTGAGGTGTTATCCGGCTTTGCGGAGCAATGGAATGCAACCAATTGGCCTGAGCCTGAACATACCTCCTCGCGGGGTTTCGGGTGGACCCATTTTTCGGGACCAACTGGACAAACTCTGCGAGCCAGATTCACTCACGTAGACCCGTGGAGAAAAAGGACACTGGACTACCTCACAGAGAAGATCCCTTTCGAATGGGCTGGACTCCGAGTCAGATTGAGCAACGCACAGATGGAGTCCAGCATGATTCAGTAGGATTGAGACTTCAAGGATGGGAAACGCTTGTACCGCTTGTAAGTACAAGTGGTGAACCCAGGTGGACTATTATCCAAAGAACATGGAGGATGTCATCTCCGCAGATGGAGCTTCAATTTCAAACACACTGTTGAATTTCAATGAATTTCATGCTGCCAGTCAATGCCGGACGTTTGTTTCCCTCCACTCTCGCAGTGGAGTTTGGATGCAAATCGAAAAGCAACAACTCTGTCTCCACCGCGATTCAACGGAATGCGCAAGAGAGGTCGAAGCTATTTATGACTGAGGGAGTGATGGGAACCTTTTTTGGCCTGCGAGGTCGGCAGCAAGCCGTACCTTTTCAAGTTTGACAAAGCTGTGCAGCGGCCTTGAAACTAAATCTGTGAAATGGTCGTTTCTCAGATGTCTTTTAAATTTTGATTACCAACTTTGGATGCTTTTGGTCAACATTCACAAGAATGTGGCTCAACATCACCACAGCTGGCTCGTGTCGAGGGCCTCATGTATCGCACTTTGCTTGACTATATATTATAAAGCTGCAGCCTTCAGGAAAGAATTCCAACATCCCAACGAGCTCAAGACCGACAAGCCGAAGCCTGGGGCTCAAATCTTGGGCAAAAAGCTGTGCAGCCGAAAAGCCATCGACGTGTCAATGACCCAGATTGGATGGGTTCAGTACGATGCACAGCCATATGCACCAAGGTATATGCAAATCCGGCAAAACTCTTGGAAAAACGAGACTCCAGACGCCCTGTTTGGCCGTGGACGCTTCGCCTGAAGGCTTAGCCTGCGTGGATGGAAGCGCCTGAAGAAGGACTTTGTTCCGTGCTGTCCCTAGATTCCATGAGATTCCACTATCCTGAGTTCAGAAGGTGTAGGCATTGTATGCGCCTTTCTGTCTCTTTCCCATGCTGCTTGGTCGATGGCCGTGCTTGGTCTTCTGCCTGCTAGGAAGCCCTTGCCCGATGTCTTTTGGGATGATGACGAGTGGATATCGCAGTGCATGAGAAAGGGCAACAAGGCGGACGCCCCGATTGCATGCCTTTGTCCATGCGGACGCATGCTCTGAAGAGAATCTACTCTCTGGTGGGTTGTTCAGCACGTTCGTGTGTTCAACAAACGTTTTCGACGTATACCAGACTGGTTGAGCAGCTCGACTTGGTATTTTCTGCTTGCTACATCAGTCAGACAGAAAGAACTTGTGATGGCATGAACATGGTTCCTTCAATTATAGACTCATAATTATATATGCACATGCTCATATATATATATATATGTATATATATATTTTTTTAAGAAGCGTCTTGAATTTCAACCTTTCGAACTGGAAGGAATGCCTGGTAAGTTCTTTTTTTTTCCAAGTCTCCTGAAAGGCTGACACACCTGCCATCAACAATTTCTTCGTCACCAACCAGTGGAAGTTTCTTCTGATTGGTGAGAAAGGCGGGGAGAAACAGGGCAATATGATGGATGTTAGTGTGAATGAACATGAACAACCCAGCAGCCAACTTGAAGATGGGTGGCGTGTGTGGGTATTTGTACATATTTGTACTACCGGCTGGGTGGATGGGTTTGATGATGAGGTCCTGGGTGCGTTTTTGTGACTGAGAGGACCTCGCTTTGTGTGACTCGCAGCGAGGAACCACCATGTTCTTTCACAAAGATGGAACAGCCGGAGCCTCGTGAACAGTGGGGAGCTCCTGTTTTATTTGGATGCGAATGTTGTGGACAACTCGGCGATGGTGGTTGGTTGTGCGGTAGTGGAAATTTGATGGAGTTTGAATAGGGACACCCCCCGACTGCATAGTTGGGGATGATATGCAGTAGCTGCACTCAGCTTTAGACAATCAAATAGGAATCAATTAGGGTCTTGCTGCATGCACACGCAATTGCAGTTGTACTCACCATCGTCCGGCAACCAAACGCATATTTTGTAACATGTTGTAATTTGTTTTAGTCATGTTTGGTCTGTTCTTCCTTTTCCTGTGGGTCTTTAAAGGGGGTTCTCACGTCCATTTGGCTGTTTGGATCTGTTCTCAGCGTGGCTCAGAGGGACACGCTTTTCGAACACGACCGGACAACGACCCGCCATGACGACCAACGGGACCACCAACGGGGCCAAGCGGAGCGGCTCGCGCAGCCGCAGCCCGCGAGGGTCCGACTCGCTGGTGCCCATCATTGATATTGGGGCTTTGTCTGGCGAAGACCAAGCGGCCAAGAAAGCGGTCGCTGAGAAGATTGGCAAGGCCTGTGAGGAGATTGGCTTCTTCGTGGTGGTGAATCACGGGATCCCCAAAGAAGTGATTGACAAGACTTGGAATCAAACCCTGGACTTCTTCGACCTACCCCTTGAAGAGAAGAAGACATTTGTTAGTGAGGATGAGGCGAAGAATCCATATGGAGCCTCGGAGATCTTGGAGCTTTTTTCAGATTCAAATAGGTCCGAGGTCTTTGGAACTCTTGAACTCATTGACAAATGTTACGTTGCATTATGTTGGTGCAATTGAAGCTGAATCTAAGGCATGTGATGTTCAGGTAGAAGATACACTACTCGCTTGACTGTTGATGTAAGACTTAGTGCACCAACCCCAAAGCACAGGAAATACCGTAGTTTCAATCCCAGGTGGTGCAGGGCTGTCTTCCATCAACAGTATAATTATGAATATGAAAATCATTAAAGAACATGATACACATCTTTTTGCCCCCTTGCTTTCGCATCTTTGCCCCACCTCAGGATACTCTGTGCTGGGCGGAGAACAACTCTCCAAGGGAAAAGACTTGGACAACGGCCAGGAAAGCAAACAAATGGGAGACCTCAAGGACACATCGGATCCGGTGGAATCAGAAAGCCAGAATCTGTTCTTTCCTTCGGGCACAGCGGCGCGATGCGGCGCGTCCGAACGCTCCTAGCGATGCCCGAGCTGTTACGTTCGTAGCTTCTTGCTACTAGTTGTAAAGCCAGGAGCTACGTGCGTAGCGTCCTTGCTCCTGAATGGTTTTCAGGAGATGTTTCAGATGGGCCCAAAGAATCCAGCTGCTGGTATGCCCCCAAGAAAGCTGCCGGCCAAGCCGAGCAATTTTGCGGAAGCTTGGGAAGCCACTTGGGCTTAGAGAATAGATTCACTTATTTAGCAGCAACACGGTTTGTGCTTGAGTTTTAGAAGTTGGAGTTTATGCTGACGCTGTGAAATGTTAAACTTATTGATAGCACAAACGTGGTGTTTCGCAACATGCCAATTCTGCTGAGACATACTATGAGCATGCCAACCAGCTGGCCCAGAGACTCTTGCGAGCCTTCGCCATGGCCCTTGATTTGCCAGATGATTGGTTTGTGACCAAGACGGACAAGCATGTCTCAGCCCTGAGATCGAACAACTATCCCGATCAAGCATCCATGAAGGTGCCAGAGGGATCGATTCGCTGTTCAGCGCACACGGACTATGGCACCATGACCATTTTGAAGTCTGGTGGGCCTGGTCTACAAGTCTCCAAAGATGTTGAGAATGTTTGCTGGCACGATGTACCATTCGTGGATCCTTTGCAGGGTTTTGTTCTTTTTCCCAGAATCAGATGATAACGCATTTGCAGTAAGGGTGGCTAGAAACGGAACTTGCAGACCACAGGCTGTGCTTCCTTGGTTTTTCCGGTGCCTTTTCTTCCACAGTCTCTGGGAGGCCACTCTTGTTGGCCACTTCGCGCCCCGCAACCCGCGCCCACGTCTCGGCCCGAGGAAGACGCCTTCGTCATCAATCTGGGTGATCTGATGCGTCGCTGGACCAACGATCGTTGGAGCTCCACGCTGCATCGTGTCATCAATCCTCCTGCAGGGAAAGCCAAGACTTGGGGAAGACGCCTGGCCCTGGCCTTCTTCCACAATCTCAATAAGGCAGCGGTATAGCGGTGATCATACTTATATAATCAGAATATAAAGACAGCATAAGGATATAAATTAAAGTATGTATTAATTGTGAGTGATGTGTAACATGTACTGACTGGTAATGTCATGGATCAGGAACAATCAACATGACTTCTACTCATTTTGGCAACCTGTTCATAGGTGTAGTACTACGTGTGACTGGTATAGCTTTGAACTTGTAGCTAACTACCACACTCCATCCTATAACAACGGCATGGATCCTTGCCTTTAGACAAACCAACCTGATCCAACAGCAAAAACAAACATAACACAACATATCTCCAACAGCCGACCACTCATGACCACTCGTGACCACTCGAATAAAGAACGAACGACCAGCACCACAGGATGCTTTGGTGGAGACCATCCCCTCGTGCATTGCGGCGGATCGACCTGCTTTGTACGATCCCATTGTCGCTGGGCGGAGACAGCGAGAGACGCCGAGACGCGGTCACCAGCGGTGGCTTGCGCGACCGGGGGGGGCGATAGAGACGAGGTGGATGGTTTGGGAGCTCAAATAGTGGGATATTTTGGGATCCCTTAAGTTATAAAGATTACAATTTCTGTTGAACCGCCAAGATGGTGCCTTGTGCCTTGTGCTTTCCCAAGGTGGCGGGTGAGTTTTTGATGCTGAAGCATCTGGCCAGCAATGGCAAAGCCGACCCGGACGCACACCTGAAACGTTCGAAGGCAGCGAGAACCCTGGCTGCAACGAGGATAGAGTTGAGCAGAGCAAATGGTGAAAGGCAGGACTCATGAAAAGGTCTGGATTGCAGCAAAAAAACGACATGAATGTTTGCGAACTGGATGTAGCTCAACACAGCCTTTGGTTCTGAGGCTGAGAGCGTGAGTGAGCTGTCCTGAAACGGACTTTGTAGAACTGCTCACCTCGAAAAACAAGGCAGTTGTGGGATAATATTGAATACTGTGACGATATGTGCCACACTCTATTTATAGTTTGGCTACTTACTAGTAGTTGAATATATTTTGTTAACCTGCTTGTGGAATCGGTCCCACCTGCATTTATCTCCAAGTGCTGGGGCTGGCTTGCATGATTGCATGCAATTGCCCAAGAGTTAGCTTGTGATTGCACAGCTGACATTTGCTGAATCCCCACATGATTCAGTCTTTTGCAGAATCAGAAAAACTTCCTGGAGCTTCACACATGAACACAACATCATGCTGTACCATGCGGATACTCTAATTACTGTATTGACTTTGATGCCCCAGGCAGCATCTACCTGGCAGGTGCAGCTCGTTGGGAAGAAGAGGTGCTTCTCACGCCGTCGCGACGCCAGCGCTATCGGTCACACGTCGACAGGTGGACGTTGTGTCCGAACACCGAGTCCCGATTCCTGTCTCCATACATTGACACGTGCGCCGCAAAAAGGTCGTGGCTTGCGCCGGTGGTGAAGCCCATGCCGTGAGGTACAATCCGGACTACAGCAGATTTCCAGCATTTGCCATGGCAAAATGCGGCCAGGCATGCAGAAGCATTGTTCCCTTCACTCATGACTGCACCTCATGCTATTGGCACTGCAAGCAACCACCATGTACACATTTGCTTAATTAATGGAGGTTTAATTCACAATTCTTGATACTGACAAATTTCTTGATCGACGCCTCCAATTCACACCTCTGGAATTTCCAGGTTACGGTGTCTCCAGGGGCCAAGCCTGCATGTTTGGTCTGGCTCGCGCTGACACGGCACAAGCCGCTCGTGCGTCAGCAAGCAGCTCGTGCAGCGCTGGCCAGGAGCTGTTGTACTATCCAGCCTATTGGTGGCATCACACCTTCCAGGCACGTTTGGATGGCATCAAGATGCCTCTTGCATCAACCACCGTTTTGGACGGGACGGACGGAAGGGGGACTCGTTCGGTCGTCCCGTTCGGTCCCGTTCGCAGTTGGAGACGCCGAGCATCTCCTACACCGGCGCCTTGGTGGGCGTCGAAGCAGATCGATCGGATCTTGGAGCAGATAGGCAGGGGAAGCGAGGAACGAAGCACAGCGGCCTGACATGAACGAAGACTCTGAGCAATGAAGCCGATGAAACGTTGAGACCATGTTCAACCATTTTCAGCCTTATTATGTTCTCATGAAAAACACCTGCACCATCTTGCAACCAGCTTTCCGTCAGCTAACACTGTGTTTGTTGTATTTGGTTGTCACGTTTTCAGAAAATGCGCAGGAAACCACACGTGCAGTTCTACGCAGACTTGCAGGAAAAATGTCGCCTCCCCAGTCAAAAGCCTTGGCCTTGCGGGTTTTGAAGGCCCTTGAGAACATATGCTTGAAGTTGGTGAGGTGCGAAATGCTGGCAGCGGGGTGTGAGCGAAAGGCGGAGCCGTTGTCTCGACATGTCTCCATCAAGGGCACTGTTGAAGAGAGGATGCGAAGCAGTCAGGCAGTGCGATGACATTTCGCAGAAGTGGGCAGGGGTGCAACCGGCTTGGCTTATATAAGCACTGGAGTGGAGAGCTCACCACTGAAGGCCCAAAACCTGGGTGTGATGGGCAGGGATGTTCCAAGGGCAGGGCCTCTAATTCTGCTTTGGAAAGCTACTAGTAGCTAAAACTAGGTGGAGGCCATCGCTACTAGGGTGGAGGCCATTGCTATCCATTGCTACTAGTAACAAGAGAACGCTACAAACGTAGCGACATGGCGGCTGCGCCCACCTCCCGTGTGCCACTTCAGTTCTGAGGCCTCGACTTCCAAGCCCTGTGCCAGGCGGCTCCACCACCCCTGCGGGTCGTTTGTGAAGAGTACTTGCCCGACTGCCCGAAGCTTGGTGACCCGAAGCACCTGGTCACTGCGACGAAGCACCAGACCGGTCGAAGTACTGCCGAAGCAAACGGCCCAACCAGCTGCTTCCAGGTTTGCGCCTGTGGTCTGAACATGCCAAAGCCTTGCATGGCGAAGACCGGGTGGAACTCTGAGAGATGAGCGAAAGCGGCTCCAAAAGTCAGCCGTTTCATGGCCTCGGCGATCGTTTCATGGCCTCGGCGATCCAAGTATCCCAGCGTTTGTTCTGTTTGTTAGAACAAGAATAGATGGTCCAAACCGACATGTTGACTTCCGTCGATCTTGAGTCTTCACCCCATCGCACCTCCTCGAAATGCACGTGCTGCGCCGGCACGGCCTTGACCGATGTTTGAGTCGAAGAGCTCGTCACAGCCCGTTTCAGGACGTTAGTGTGTTTGGCGAGGAAAGAATCACAGGTCGGCCTTTTCTCGTTTGCCTGCCTCTCCCTCGCTCGCTCGCTCGCTTCCGTCTTACTGACTATTTCTTCTTCGGTGATTTTCAAGCAACTTTGGACAAGTGATTGCCATCCACGAAGCTTCTGAAGTCTGCAAATATGTCTACCACCGTTGCAGATTTAACTGCATCTTGCAGTTTCTCAAGCTAGACACATATCCTTTGGGGTACATTTGCTGCATTTGCTCCATGCTGTTAACGGCTTTTGTGCGTTGCAAGGACTGCTCGAAGATTCATGTTCTGCACTTCTTACACCTGCAAAGCTACAGCTTCTCCTTCCACAGGACTTGCTCCTCTGAGTCCGCAACAAGAATGGACTTTAAAGCTGTGATCTTCGACTTAGATGGTGTGCTGGTCGATACCGAGGGAGAGTCTCTGCCAAATTCAATGGTCAGTTTTCAGCAGAGGCAGTTCATGGCAGTTCCGTGTGCACAGATGCATGCATGATCGAAAGGCGGTGTTGGAATGCTGAATGGGTTGTCTAATGCACAAGAGTTGAAAACAAACAAGCCCATAAACCATCTAGGCCACTTGTGCATGGATCGCTCAGCTACTACAACCACATGACCTTCTTTGGACTTCTGACCTGCACAGACACATAGCAGGCACGCGGGTAGGGCCTTGAGGGACTTCAGGTTGTCTTTAGTCCAGGAAGCATGTTTGGAAACACCGCAGAGAAAAGACGTGCGCATCGGCATGACTTACACCAATAGACTAAAAGCCATTGGACCAGCTAGGTCTCCATACCCATACATGGATGGCATGGATACTTGAATGAGTCCCATCTCTTTGGACGTATTCCAAAACATCCATCCGTCCCTTTGCAGATCTTGTTGTCATCATTGTCGTTGTTGTGGTTGTGGTTGTGGCAGTGGTTGTTGCATCCTGTATGTTGTATGTTGTTGTTGTTGTGGTTGTGGTTGTTGTGGTTGTGGTGGTTGTGGTTGTGGTTGTTGTGGTTGTGGTTGTGGTTGTGGTTGTGGTTGTGGTTGTTGTTGTTGTTGTTGTTGTTGTGTGTTGTGTGTTGTGTGTTGTGTGTTGTGTGTTGTATGTTGTATGTCGTAGTGTTTGTTTTTTTCGTTGTCATTGTTTTTGTGGTTGTGGTTGTGGTTGTCGTTGTCGTTGTCATCGTAGTTGTGGTTTTGGTTGTGTTTGTTGTGGTTGTTGTGGTTGTTGTTGGTGTTGTTCTTGTTGGTGTTGGTGTTGGTGTTGGTTTTGTTGTAGTATGTTGTTGTTGTCATTGTCATTGTTGTTGTGGTTGTGGCTGTGGTTGTGGCTGTGGCTGTGGTGGTTGTATGTTGTCGTTGTTGTTGTTGTTGTGGTTGTCGTCGTTGTTGTTGTGGTTGTGTTTGTTTGTTTGTTTGTTTGTTTGTTGTCTCTTTTCTTATGTTTGTGGTGGTTGTTGTGGTTGTGGTTGTGGTTGTTGTTGTTGTTGGTTGTTGTTGTTGTTGTCGGTGTCTCTTTTCTTATGGTTGTGGTTGTGGTTGTGGCTGTGGTTGTTGTATGTTGTCGTATGTTGTTGTTTTTGTTGTTGTTGTTGTTGTCGTTGTTGTTGTTGGTGGTTGTCGTTGTCGTTGTCGTTGTCATCGGTGTTGCGGTTTTGGTTGTGGTTGTTGTGGTTGTTGTGTTTGTTGTTGTTGTTGTTGTTGTTGTTGTTGTTGTTGTTGTTGTTGTTGTT